GTCATGTTTTACATCCTTTTATTTTGTGTATTGCTTAACCAATTATTACAGTTATAGTTATTTTTACTACTTTTGTTTTTTAACCTTTATAACTACCTTTATAAGCAATAATCCACTATCTTTGCTATATATTTATCATTTTCTTGCCAGCGTTATTTTATTCCAAGACCAGAAGTTGTTAATATTGATGAAGTCCAGTTTTTTATCAGCTTTTTCTTTTATGATTCAGGCTTTTTGTGCCATAACTAGGAAATATTTGCTTAATCTTTTGCTTAGTTTTTAATGTGATCTACCTAAATTATCCCCTTATTCTCCACCAGAGCTGCTAACTCCTTGCAGTGTCCAAACATGTTATGCAAAGTGGGCAGGGGTGAGGAAGGAAGGGATGGAGTCAAAATACGGCTCAGGGGCCAAATCCTTCCCTCTCCCTGTTTTTTGTAAGTAAAGTTTTATTGGAACACAACCATGCTCAGTCATTTGCTTATTGTCTGTGGCTGCTTTTGTGCTGCAATGCAGAATTGAGTTAGTTGTAACAGAGACTAAATGGCTCTCAAAGCCTAAAGTATTTTTCTACTCCTTTACAAGAAAAGTTTGTTGACACCTGAGACAATCTATTAGTTCCTCTTTCCCCATTTCTTGGGGATAACTCTCCTGGAGCCCTTTATTCTTATGTGTCTCTCTGGACAGGTTGTTTTTAAACTCTGTATAGTTGCTCTTCTGAGAAATTCCTGTTCCTCCTTTGTTAGATCCCTCTGTTTCTGGGATCCCAAGTCTTTCTTGGTTTGTTTCATTCCCTCCTGATAGAATATATCTTCTATTTTCCTGTGAAAAAAGGCTGTGTGGGAAGTAAATTGATACCACTCTTGATAAGAGAATTCTAGGTGGTTAGCCATTTTCCCTGAGAATTTTGAAGGCATAACTTTATATTACCTTCCAGCTTCCAGTGTGGCTCTTGATAAATTTAAAGACTTTCCAACTGGTTATCCAGTTAGTTTCCTACAGTCTGGATTTTGCTGACTTGTAGGTCGAAGGTTAGTAATGCTTGAATATATAACATGTATAGCATAGAATGCATTCAGACGACCTTTTTTTTTTGAGCAACTTCATTCGCTTAGTATGTTTTTGAGGTTCATCCATTTTGTAACATCTATAGTAGTTCATTCTCTTACATGTGGAATAATCCATTGTATGGATATACTGCATTTTATATATCCATTTATCTGTTGATAGATGTTTGATATCTTAATATCTGCTTTTTGGCCTTTATGAATAATGTTGCTGTGAACATTTGTGTACAGATTTTTGTGTGGCCATGTTTTCTCTTGGGTATATATGTAGGAGTGGAATTTCTGGGTCATATGATAACTCTATGTTTCTATAAATCACTCGTAATTAATTTACTGTTGATAATCATATATATTTAGAAATGGTTCTCTGAGAAAATCTAGTCTATAAATTGTTTCCAAATGTAGTGAAAATTTTATAGGTATTATAATTAATGTTGACATAATGTTATTTGGAAATGTAATGACACATGAATTTTTTTTTTTTTTGTATTTAGAGCCTGTGATTTGTTTTTAGGGTTCATAACACTCATGGGCCTTAGGCATAGTACCTGTGTACTGCCTAAGTGTTAAAAACCCTAACATTGTGGTGCCTGGGTGGCTCAGTCTGTTAAGTGTCTGCCTTTGGCTCAGGTCATGATCCCAGGTTCCTGGGATCAAGTCGCACATCAGGCTCCTTGCTCAGTAGGGAGCCTGCCTCTCTCTCCCTGCTGCTTGCCATCTTGTGTTCTCTTTCTCTCTCTCAAATAGATAAGCAAAATCTTTAAAAACAAAACAAAATCCTAACATTGCCTGGGTGGAACCCAGAAAAAAGCTAAGCTGGTAATGTGAGAACTTTGTGGATACTCAGTGGGACATAATCTAAGTGGGGATGGAAATGGTCTTGGCAGGATGTCAGGCATAGGACCATGATGTGGTCTTTAGTAAAGCACAGGGATGAAGAAGGCTCATTTGTTTTTACGAATTACCAGACAGCTTGAGTGATGTAGAAGAATAGTGCAGTGATCGTGGTCCTGTTTCTTTATTTGCTCTGTATCATTCTTAAATAAATTCCTCATGAATAAATTACCATGTAAACAATTTAAATAAGTTGAAGGAACTTAGATTTTTAGTTATATGAGCTTTCTATTGTGCAGGCAGAGAATTTAAGAATTTCAGCATACTTTCAGCTATTGGTTCATTAATTTCCAGTATGTTTCACTAAGCTAGTATTTTTCTCACCTTAACTTTCATATTCTCCATCCATCTAAAAATGGATTATCACTGCATATGTACCCACTCTACCATAAACCTGTTGGTCTCAGCAAAGAAGTCAGTGTCACTCTAATTGTCAAAATCTGAATAAAGGTAAAAGGCAATCTATGTAGCTATTAAAATAATTTACAAGCAGTGGGCATAATGCCATTTTTATAAGGGGAAAAAAACTATTGTGAAGGGAACATTGACAACTTTTGGTAAACAGTAACAAAATAGGCCTTATCTTCAAGAAACGCTCAGATAATTACAGTTCAGGTTAGTTAATGCTCTAACAGTGGTAAGTATAGCATTTCTCAAGTGCTACATAAAATAGGATACCTCACCTGGTTTAACTGAGCCCAGGAAAGTTTTTTAAAGACAGATATACTAGACCAAGCCTATAATATCAGTTAAGAGTTAGGTGAGTGGGTAGAAAGAGGGAGGAAGAAAAAGAGAAGAATTTTAGGTAAAGAACACAAAAAAAGTAAAGGCTGGGTGTATGTATCAGCCTGTTGAGTTCAATGACCTCTAAGCAGAGAGAAGTTACTGGATTATGATGTCAAGGAAGGGAGTCCCATGAGAAGAGGAAGCTGGAGAGGTGCTTATACTAATAAGGTCAAATCATAGAAGCTTAGTGTGCCAGGTTGTCTGAGCTTAAGCTTTGTGCTATCTGTAGTGGAAAATACCAAATGGCTTTAAGTACAAGAGTGACATGGTCACCTTTTTGGTCGGTAGGTTATTTTTGTCTTTGTCTTTGCCTGTTCTGAGATTCTAACCTTGAAGGTCACAAATTTTATTTATTGACCACTATATCCTCAGAGGCTAGAGTGGTGCCTGGCAAGTATTTAAGATTCACCAAAGATGCTAGTAAGGCAGTATAGTTGCATATAGCAGTTAGGAGCATGGGATCCACCACAGGTCTGAATCCTTCTGAGGCCACCATTAAATAGTGCTGTGACCTTAAGCAGGTTCCTTAATCACCCTATGACTCAATTTTCTTATCTGGAAAATGGAGAGAATAGTTGGACCTACCTAATCAGATAGTTCTGAGAGTTAAATTAGTTTATATAAAGCACTTAAAATAGTGCTTGGCTCATAGTAAGTACTATGTAAATATTATAGGAATGGATGAATTTAAGAAATATTCAGGAACACGGTTGGATAGGATGTGGTAAATAAGAGTGAGAGGAGTTAAGGTTAAGTCCCTTTGTACAGCTAGAGCTTTACCTCCCTCCCTTCCTGTTTCTCCCCTACCCCTACTCACAACATGCATACACGACACACACACATACGCTTACACTGACTCACTCTTACTCTCAGATTAGCGCTCATCCATTCTAGTTAGTACTGGAAGTTTAAATAAAGCCTGGTGGTTAGTTTCTGGTATGTTAAGGAAAGACTGTTGATTCAGTGTGGCACATCCTCTTGGATTTTGTTTGGCTTCTCTCTGATTCCTTTTCTTTCTCTTTCTTGAAGTTTCTTCCTTGGACTCCTTGAGTTCTTTTCTTCTCAGGACAGAAATGTAAGAAGGGTTTAGATCCACCTCCAGTTGGTGGGCTGGGGGTGTGTAGCCACTTCCCTCCCCGTGTCTCATTTTTTTCTTTATGCTTCTTCCCCTTCTCCCCATTGTTTTCCCACCCCCTATTTTCTTACACAGTAGGAGAGACAAGAGAAGGGATTTCCTCCTTATTTGGCCTTGTCTTCAGGCTAGCTTGGTGTTCACAGTTCTAGTAATTATGGAAAACTTTGGGGAGGATGTTAAAACACATGTCAGAAAAGGATTCCCTTCTTCAATTAAAGTTGACTTTAAAAGAGTTCTCTTTTAATCTGTTTTTCTGATGTGATATTGAGAAGCATTTGGAATCTAGCACTTGAGCCAAGTTTCTCTATCCTTAGGACCCTTTTGTTTCAGAAACCAGTTAACTTCTAGAATATAGCTTGTCTGCCTAGGCAAAAGAATTCTTTTAGCTCACTTCTAGGCTGGTTAAGGTCACCAGAACCAGAGGTTTCATGCTAGAGCCATGCTTTCATTAGGGGAGTGGGATTGGATACTCTGAGAATCTAAGATGGAGCCTCAGCTCTCTGCTACAACCCTGAGAAGTCTTCGAAATCTATAAATATTTTTATCTTTTTAGGTTCACGTGGATTTTGCATTCTACTTTACACTTCATTTGTTTTGATAGAAATGTGAATTTCCTCCCTAATCTTTTACCTCAACTAAGGCTCTGGGAAGATAAACCCTTTTACTTTCTTGTGTCTTCTCATATTCACCCACATACTACCCTCACTCCCCAGTTTAAAGAGTACATACAAGGATTTGGAGCCAAAACCTTTTTATTGAGTGTCTCTTGCATATTTCTTATGATGGGAGTTGGCTTTTTGGCTAACGGGGCCCCAGCTTTTTTTTCCCCTCAACACATTGAGCCTTCTGAATCCTTGAAACAACACACTTGATCATAAATAACTTGTAGTAAAAGCTTTCCATTTCCTAGAGTTTGTAATGAATGTAAATATTCTATGTAATTCCTTGTCTAGATAGTCATGAAAAGATAGTGGCCAGTGTTTATTGTGTTTTTATTATGTGCCAGGTTCTGTTCTCACCCCTATTGTCTATTGTGCTGTTGAATTATGTGATGCTTTAAAAACAAGTAACTTGTTTGTAGAATTCATGCTAACATTACTATTGTTTTCAATTAACAGATTTCAACACTAAACTTGCACAATGTCTTTGAAACCAAGAGTAGTAGATTTTGATGAAACATGGAACAAACTTTTAACGACAATCAAAGCTGTTGTCATGTTGGAATACGTCGAAAGAGCAACATGGAACGATCGTTTCTCGTATCCTTTTAGTGAGGATTGATAAATATTCTTGTATTGATAGTGATATTGTATCAATAACTGTATCAGTGAAAATTGGTAAATGTCCTAAAATTGATAAACTTGTTGAAAAGTGAGAACAGGTTTATGCTTATATAAATGAAAGAGAATGCCAGTGTGACTACTTTCACATATATTGTTTACATTTCCAAGTTCATCTGTATGTGTCAGTCAACAACTGAGAACCTTTCATTTAACAATACTGAGCACTCATGTATATGTCAGGTACTATTCGAGGCTTTGGGAATACAGTTGTACACAAAACCACTTTCCCTTCATTCTATTAAGAGAAACAGACAATAAACAGGTATTTAAAAAAACTTAATGCCACTGCTTCTACTAGCAGGTAGTGATAGACTCTGTAGGGAAAAATAAAGCAGGGTAAGGGCATGGAGAATGGTTGGAGTATGTGTGTAAGCAGCTCTCTTAGGTTGGATGATCATGGAAGGCCTCTCTGAGGAAGATGGTGATATGTGAACAGAGACTGGACCAAAGCGAGGGAACAAGTCATATCTGGGGGAAGAATGTTCCAGGTAGAGAGTGAATGGCAAGTTTAATGACTTGATAGCTAGAAATACGTTTTTTAATTGGGTTGTCTATATTTGTGAATTAGCAATTTTATATGAAAATACAAATTTGTGGTTTCTCTAGAATAATCTGAATCCCAGTGTCCTGCATTCCTACATGACAGCAACCTTTTTTTTTTTTTAATATATACATACTGTATATATTACTTATATATAAAAAACACTGTGCACCCCGGCATTCTGTATATAAACTCTGGCACCAAGAAAAAATCCCAAATATTAAAATACTTCAGCTTCTTAGTATTTGCAAGGTTAAAGGGGTCTCTAGGAACCCTTGGCCACAGGTACCTGGGGCAAAGCCATGGATGGTAGTCTCATCAACTCTACCAATGTCTCCCAGGGACCAAGGCTGGGTGGGCATGGGGAAAACGTAGGTACATTGGAACATGTTCACTGGCAGACTTCTGAACTGCCTCGGTCTTTTACCATGGGTAACACCATACATGTCCTGTCTCAGGGTAAAGAAAGGGGGTAAGGTTGAGGCCTGGGTGTCTCTGGGTCCAAATGGCAAGGTAGTGCCCCAGGGCCTTGCAGGAGACCTTGAGGACTGGATGGATATTGTAGGAACCAGAGATTCTTCTTCCAGAGAGGGAAATTAATATGTGAAGGTATTAACCAAAATGTGTGTGGAGATTCACAGTTTTTTCCAACTCTGTGCTGCCCTCTAGCAGTCTTCTGGGTCTAAGGGATGGCTACCCTCATAATGTGGGCATATGCTCTTTAGAAAAGCTTGGATTTTATAACAGTGACTCAACTTGTTCTTAATGCTTAATTCAGTTTTTATATTAAGCTGAATGTTGATGCAAGAACGGTGAGGTTCTTTTAGACCAACAGCAAACCATCTCATTCATTACATTTGCACTCACTACTAAGAAATGTGTTAGGCTACCTATGTTCTAGGCACTAAAGATAAATAAAATGATGGTAATGTTTCTGGAAGCCTTCATAGTCTGCAAGGGTGTTTTATATTTTTTATATTATTTGGTACCTCAAACAAGCCTGTCAGATTGGTGGGGCAGGTAATAATTGTCTTTATTTAACAAAGGAGGAAATTGATACTCACATCATGCCGGTAATAACCGAAGGAGCACAGACTTAAATATGAGATTTCTAACATCTAATTCCCTATACTTGCCAGTATATCTAGAGGATAATTGATACGGATTTTGCCTTTGAAGAGCTTATTATTGAATTAGTCTAATTTTTTTATGGAACATCATGGGTTGTTTTGCATAGGAATCTTAAAAAAATGGAAAATGTTAAAGTTACTTGTGTGTTAATAAGGTTACTAGACAAGGTACATAGGTAGTTTTAAGGCTATTTCAACTAAAATATGAACAGAGAAAGAAGGAGTTGGTCATAGAAATACGTGACTTCCCTGGAAAGTGTCGCTTCGGTCATTTATTTCTAAAATGTTTATTTTTGATTCATTTAAGATAGTCCAGTTACCTGTTCATGAATTTTCTTCTCCTCTCTTTAAAATAAAGAATATCTGCAAAAACAATAAAATTAAGAGAATTTCTTACTTTAAATTTTATTTTGGAAAATAAAGGACTGTATTACTAACTGTTTTGAAGTAAAATCCCTTTCCCTGTTAATTTGCCCAAAAATACGAGGTTGACTTCTGACTCTTAGGTATCTTAGGTAAAAATTTTAGAAACTATAAAACTTTAATCTTTTGAAAATGAAAAGCCTACTCCAAATTGTGTATCACTGTATATGATAGTAATTGATCTTTTATAAAGCATTTTTTGGGGTGTGTGAAGTGTAATGTGGTTGACCCTTGAACACAGGTTTGAACTACATGTATCTACTTATACGTGGGTTTTTTTGGGAAAGGTTTATTTTATTTTAGAGATTTTAGAGCTGGGGAGGAGAGAGGCAGAGGGAGAACAGAGAGAGAATCTCAAGCAGACTCCCTGCTGAGCATGGAGCCTGATGTGGGGCTCGATCTCAGGACCCATGAGATCATTACCTGAGCCGAAATGAAGAGCCAGGTGTCTGACCAACTGAGCCATCTAGGCACCCCTTCCCCACTTTTTTCTAAACAAATACAGTACTGAAAATGTATTTTTTCTTCCTGACGACTTTAATAAGATTGTCTTTTCTCTAGCTTACTTTATTGTAAGAATACAATATCTAATACAGAAACAAAATAGGTGTTAATCAACTATTTCTATTTCAATTAAGGTGAAGTCAACAGTAGGCTATTAGTAGTTCAGTTTTGGGAAAGTCAAAAGTTATACGTGGATTTCCTTCTGCTGGGGTTTGGCACCCCTCACTCCTTCATTGTTCAAGGGTTAACTGGTACATGTGTAGAAAAATTCATAAGATGTACATGTGGGGTTGAACAGATAGTTAGAAAGCAAACCCCTGCATAATCGCTGCACAGGTTGAGAACTAGAACACTGCCAGGATCCACCAACTCTCCCCTACTACATGTCCACCTCAGTTCACAAGCCCACTGCTTATCTTAGAGGGAACTACTCTTGTGACTTTTGCACTTATTGTTTCCTTGTTGTTTTTTTTAAATAGTATAACTGCTTATGTATACAGCCCTAACAATTATTGGTTCTTTCTGTGTTTGGAACTTTATATAAATTGAATCATGCTGTGTATATATTTCTGTGTCATAATTTTTTCTTTCAACTTATACATGTATGTGATTAATTTGTTACCAGTGACGTTGTAAAATATGTATTAATAGCCCGATTTTACAGCTGAGGATGTCGTGGTTTAGTGATGGGATAAGATGACTTACTCATATTGTAGGATAGAATGCGGAAGTAAAATGCTCAAGTCTCCTTATGCTCTTGAAGTGGGCATTAAGGAAGCTTGGTCTGTCAGTTGAAGTGTTTAACATGTGTAAGTACAGAATTTATGGAACCCTGTCCACAGCATTTTTTACTAAATATAAACTCCATAAGGGCGGGGATTCTTGGCCATTTTGGTCACTGCTGTATTCCCAACATCTGGCACATGTAGGTATTCAGTAAATATTTGGGGAGTGAATAGCTACTGTCAAATGTCATTAAGTATACTGTACAGATGAAATAAATAACATTAATATTTAGGTAGTTCTTTTATTGTGTTGATAAGCAGGTTTCTTAACACTCATCCTTCATAAATGTACTGCGTCCAGGTACAATGCAAGGCGTTCTGGTTGATAGGCAGTGTAAATAAAAGACCTCAGTTTTTTAATACATAAAAAATTACCACAAATTTAGTGTCTTTGAGAAACATCCTTTTATTATCTCACAGTTCTGTGGATCAGAGGTCCACGGTGTGACTGGGTTCTCTGCTCAGGATCTCACAAAGCCGAAATCAAGGAGTTGGCTGGCTAACTCTCATCTAGAGCTCAGGGCCTCTTTAAAGCCCATTGCTGTTAATTGGGAGAATTCAATTTGTTGCAGTTTTAGTTCTGAGGTCTCCATTTTTGTTGTTTCTTGGCTGTGAACTGCTCTCAGTGACTTGTTACACTTCAGGTTTTGCATGTGACTCCCTTCCGTCTTCAGTGCCAGCAGTGACATGGCAAATCTTCCTGTGCTCTCTCAGACTTCCCCTTCTGCAGTTAACCACAGAGGGCTAGAAGCAGATGGAGATCTGCTTTTAAGAGGCTCATTTGATTGGATTAGGCCCGCCTGGAAAGTCCAGGCTACTCTCTCTATTGGGGTCAGCTGATTAGTAATCATAATTCTGACTTTGTGCTCTGAGTCCCTTTTGCCATGTAAAGTAGCAGTCCCAGGTGTTAGGGTGGAAAATCTTAGGAGGCCATTTTTAGAATTCTCCCTAACACAAGTAATAATACTTCCTAACAGAAACGTTTGACAGCTTAGGGTGGTTTGGGATTTACTCTTTACTGAGGATTTCTGTCAAGTGCTTTTCTACAGTAAGGCTGGGTATAGATCTAGATTTACTGTTGTGTTTTTCTGGGTTGGAGTTCTTTGACTGTTTTGGTTTACTTTTAGTCACGGTTTTCTGCCTTTTGGTGGCTGTTAAGACAATTCCCAAACCCTGCAGTATAGTATAGAAGCTCTCCTACTTAAGGGCAAGTTAGATTCTAAATGGTTTTATGTAAGTCCAAAGTGATTAAGTGAGCGGAAATCTAAAATGCATTCGTGAATGTATTTCTCCCAGATAGAAAAACCAGGTTTTAAAACCAAGCGTACTGTTGTCCTCATTTCTAATATATATTCTGTCAGGCATCTTTTCAAACATAGACCAGTTTTGACTACATTGAAAAGTACTGAAGTAGGTCATCTCCATCCCTGATGATCCTCACAAATTTTAGGAGAACTTCTTATTAACCTTGGCGTCTGCACTTAGTAGTCCATCATTTTTTCTTAGATTGTACAGATTGGGAAAGGTCTTATCTGTAGTTTTCTCTGCTTGAAGCATCAGTAACATTTTCCCTCTATTCCACGTTAAATCAGGTGAATATTTGATTATTGTGATTCTGTAGCTATATACACTTTAAAGTGTTTCCATTTTAACCAATAATTTTATATCCTTGCTTGCTAGTTGATGATTTCATAGATACTGCATCTTTTACATATTGCATGTTTATTCTTTTTCTTCAGAAATATCAATAAAGATCTTTATTTTTTATTGTCAATACTTTTTTGGTCATTGTACCATTTTCAATTTTAAGATAAGCTTTCCTTTTTTTTTTTAAATTCACCAGCACTGTTTAAAAATTTGTTTCCTGTTATATGTAATATACATAACTTAAAAGCACATCCATATGAATCTCCTATAAGCTAAACCTTCATAATAAGAACCCATAAACATGCAATGTGTACTTCTTTTCCCATGGCTTGGTTTTCTGTCATTGTTTTTTTTTTCTTCTGTTTGTTTGTTTGTCTTAAAGATTTTATTTTTAAGTAATTTCTACACACAACCCTGACATCAAGAGTTTCATGTTCCACTGACCGAGCCAGTAAACTGCTCCTCTTTTTCTCGTTTCTAATGAGAGTCATCTGCAGTGGCCCTCAGCAGGACCAGGACACACAGGATGAGAGGGCCTAGGGTAGGGGGAGGTGAGGGCCCAGATGGAAAAAGACTAGACAGCAAGAGTTGAGGGGGAGCAGAGACAGAAGAAAGGAAGGGAGATTTTGCAGCCCAGTGTCAAGACCTCCAAAATAATAATACAGTGTTACTCCTCCTTTCCAGGTGGGCAGTTTTCTTTCTTAGAAAATGGTTGATGGTGTGTGTCCTGCTGCTGTGGATAATCTTTACATCCCCATTGTAGAACTCATTGTTTTGGACCCACTACATAATAGACTTAATAGTGTTAAAATTAAAAATTAAACCCAAGCATAGGTAGCACCTTTAATAGAGAAAATGAACCAAAATAAATGATTTTGCTGCTGGCCGACACTGTCTTTTGGTTGTGACAGAGTTCAGAACTTTTGCTCTGGAACAGTTTTGTTTTTTGTGAGAATTTTTGTAAGTGGAAAGTTCCTAATAGAGGAATTTGTATATCCTGACTCCCAAAAGAGTAACCTAAGGAAAAGATGACTTTGGAGAAGACAGTGTTTAAATCTAAAACTGGCCTCCTCCAGTTATTTCCCATTTTTTGTTTTTTAAAGTGCCTTGTCTAAAACCAAATCATAATTGAATCCTGTAGGGGTTAGGTGCTCTTCCTAAGGCCCAAATATTTCCAGGGTGGTTAGATATTTGAATAGGTTAGAGAAAAAACAGCATATTTAGAAATATCTTTTAGACAGTTAAGTGACATTATACAATGGTTAACTGAGACCCCAAACTATGGTGAGTTAAAAAATTAAAAGATTTATTAAGGTAGACTCCACTGAAAAACACGCAAGTACGTCCTCACTGATGATGTCAAACAGTATATAAATCCTGTATATGGATTGAAATGGGAAAGTCTCCCTGTATTCCCTGCCCTGCAGAGATCCTTTTTCCCTAAGTGGGAAGAAGGTAAGTCCTGTAGTGTGTCCTTTCAGCCAATTTTGTTTACATGTACATGCAGTGGTTGTATTGAGATACTAATTTTGGTGATACGAAACATTTGGGCACATAATTAGTATATCATGCTGAAATTATGGTATTGAATCATGTTAATTTTTCAGTATCAAGTTGTGTATTCTAGAAATAAGTATTATGGCTTCAGGAAAAAAAAGAGCAAATATGATAGATGAAAATTCTTGAAGTAAGTATTCAGAACTTAAAGATCTTAAATGCATCAACACCTAAGCCAAAAAAATTGTTGATCTAGATCCTGCCTAAATTTAATCTTTATTAAAAAAAATTTAAATTTAAGTGTAGTATACACACTGACAGTAACACACAGGTGAATTTTCATAACATGAACGTACCCATGTACCCAATAAATAGCACTCCTAGCATCCCAGAAGCACCCCACATTCCCCCTCAGTCACTAGGGGTAACTACTCTCTTCACTTTTTTTTTTTTTTAAGATTTTACTTATTTATTTGACAGAGAGAGACACAGCGAGAGCAGGAACACAAGCAGGGGGAGCAGGAGAGGGAGAAGCAGGCTCCCCGCTGAGCAGGGAGCCCGATGTGGGACTCGATCCCAGGACCCTGGGATCATGACCTGAGCCGAAGGCAGACGCTTAACGACTGAACCACCCAGGCGCCCCTCTCTTCACTTCTAATATGCTTAATTCTGACAACAATTTTATATTTGTCTTTACTAGGGTAAGATTGTGATGAGTAATTGAGATTGAATATAAATATATGATAAAACAAAACAAATCTCTTATGTGGTGAACTAGGACTTTTTTTTTTTTTCCCCTGAGGAATTTATAGCTGAAACCTCCAAGCTAGATCCAGGAGCTCATCTAATACATTATTTTGGAGCACCTTTCTTCTGTATTCATACCTTGCTCCTTCTCCTCTCCCCAAACTATTACCAATTCTCTTAAAATTTGTGTCCAGATAAATTTCTAAATTCTTTCTTAGATGATGTATGTTAAAATTTCATTTTCTTTGTAGTATGTTAATATTTTTATGTTATTGTTGGTAAATAGTTCTTATATACTATTTTTTTAATCTATTTATAAAGGTTCATTATATCTCATTTAAAGTAATCGTAATAGTTTGTTTCTTATTGTATATTTTTTTTTCTACAAAAAACCTGGCACAGGAGCACCTGGGTGGCTTAGTTGGTTAAGCATCTGCCTTCAGCTCAGGTCATGATCTCATGGCCCTGGGGTTGAGCGCCGAGTTGGGCTCCCTGCTCAGCGGGGAGTCTGCTTCTCCCTCTCCCTCTGTCCCCCCTTCATGCTGTCTCTGTCAAATAAATAAAATCTTCAAAAAACAAAAACCTGGCACAGCAGTATTACACTATATGGATATTTTTGCTTTTTTTTTACTGTAAACATTTTTTTCAGTTTATATTTAGCACAATAGTATACTGAAGAATGTATACATATACACATGAAGATATTTTATTTACTAATTATATATAATTAAAAACAAAAGGATTTAGAAGGATCCTGGCAAAGTCTGACCAAAATCTACCCATCCCTGACCTCATATGGAGAGGGCTGCTTGTTCTTTCTGGAGTAAGGATACTAGGTAAACAGAGCACATATTAATTCCCTACCTCCCTTCTATCACCGAGTGTTTAATAAGTGCCTCTTATGTGCCAGGAATTGTGCTTTGGAGCTGGGACTCTAGAGATGATTAAGAACAGGCGAATGTGGATGATAAAGGTTTAAGTAATTTCTTGTATTAAAGTAAGTTCTATAGAAGAAAAATGTATAAAATGTTATGGAGATAGAGGAACAATCTTCCTCCTACTTCTGTATATTTTTTTATAATGAAAGTTTGTTAAAATTTTTTTAAGATTATTATTATTAGTAGTAGTAGTAGTAATAATCTCTACACCCAAGATGGGGCTTGAACTCACAACTCTGAGATCAGAAGTCACATGCTCTTCGAATTGAGCCAGCCCAGCGCCCCCCTACCTCCATATTTTTAAGCAAAAATTTTATTTGAAATATTTCCCGATCCTTATATTAAGTATATTGAGTATATTTATAATATAAATAAAAGTATATTAAGTATATTAAATACTTGACTCCATCCCAAATAACCTTATTTTCAGTTTTTATCTGCAACTCTAATTAGGTTGTTCTCAAATTGCTTCACGTATGCTTTATCTTCAGCATCTGTTCAGTGATGCATAGTTTATGAAGCACTTTAACATTCATGAACTTATTTGGGTCTTAAAAGGATTCTTTAGAGATATCAAGAGAGGGTTTATTACTCTTAGCTTAGAGATGAGGAAATGGCAATGCAGAAAGGTGAAGAGACTTGGTCAGGATCACTGGCTAGTAAAACTAAAGTCTCAAACAGATCCCATTTCCTCTGTCTCCTGATTTTTTTTTTTTTAAAGATTTTATTTATTTGAGAGAGAGAGAGCACATGAGAGGAGGGAGGGTCAGAGGGAGAAGCAGACTCCCCGCTGAGCAGGGAGCCCAATGCGGGACTTGATCCCGGGACTCCAGGATCATGACCTGAGCCGAAGGCGGTCGCTTAACCAACTGAGCCACCCAGGCACTCTCTGTCTCCTGATTAAGAGCTGTCTGCTACAGCATATCTATGACTTGTGATACTTAGCAAGGTAGTCAGTTGGTACTCAAAAAATTAATTGATAATACTATTCATACTGTAATTCTTTCTAATGGAATAAATACTGAAGGATAGTGTGTAGGTTGTAGGATGTTATAAGTACTATGATGTGGGAAAATGTGTCAAGTGAGTAGTTTTTGTAACTTGTTTCTCAGAATTGCATAGACATATCTGCTTGTGATATTCCATAGCCCTTTGTTGATATTATGCTTATGTCCATCCTTACATAAACCTTATTTTGTAGATTTCTTGGTAACTTGATTTACCAGAATGCCGCTCTGAATTTTAAGCTCTTTGAGAAGAACAGTTTTCCTTACAATACTGTCTAATAATCCTCAAGAAATATTTGTTGAATGAATAAATGAATAACACTTATAGTGCTTTTTAAAGTAAGCATGGCTTTTTTTTTTTTTTTTACTTTTTCTATATCTGTATAATCTTAAATTGCCTGAAAGGATTTTTCATTTTTTAATGGCAAACTTGAATTAAATCTCTTTATTTTAAAGTAATATCTCCCCAATGGATATGAAAACCTTAACAATTTAACTAGAGATATCTATGCTTTATGTGTGGCCTATCCTGAACCCCTTGGAGAAAGACTTTATACAGAAACTAAGATTTTTTTGGAAAATCATGTACGGCATTTGCACAAGGTAAGGAGTGGTACCTACATGATATAAATATGTTTCTAGCTGGGTAGTTATTATTAGACTAGTTCACTGTTTTCCAGTGCAGAACTTATATCACGTTAAGGTTATTTGCTTTGTTTCCTAAATAGCATTTTTCTGATTATATATATTTAAGGTTTATGAGTTAAGCATTATGTTGTTAGATTCTCAGTTTAGTTACTCAGGATCATATAACTGGTAACTGAAATAGTGGGGTTTCAAATCAAGGTTTGTTCAACTTCAAAATTTGCTTCTATGTCCTCTGGATGGTGTTTATTAGAACCGTTTTCTATCTTTATTATTTTCGGCCATTTAGCTGCCTCTTCATATCCTACATAAAACCTTACAAAAACCTAAAATGACAAAGGGAAATGGCAAATTAAAAAGCATGATAGAAACTGTCCCTGTGACCACTTATTTTAGTTAGTATGCCATATGTACAAGGGCAACACCATGGACTTGATCTGTGTATGAACAAAGAATTTGCGGGATTTGGCTTTAGACAGTATTTCTTATTTTGGACTACTGATCTGATCAGGAACTGGAAGAGATCACTTATTGTCTGGGCTAGAAACTTGACTGTACCTTTCATTAGCTGTGTGACCATAGGCAACTCACTTAATCTCCCTTATGGATTAAAATTTAAGTTTCTTTATCTTTAAAATGGAGATATAGTAGAGGATATTATGCTAAGCAAAATAAGTCAGAAAGACAATTATCATATGGCTTCACTCATGGAATTTAAGAAACAAAATAGAGGATCATAGGGGAAGGGAGGGAAAAATAAAATAAGACGAAATCAGAGAGGGAGATAAACCATAAGAGACTGTTTTAACTCTAGGAAACAAACTTGAGGGTTGCTGGAGGGGAGAAGGGTGGGGGGATGGGGTAACTGGGTGATCCTTAAAGAGGGCACTTCATGTAATGAGCACTGGGTGTTATATGCAACTGATGAACTAATGAATTCTACCTCTGAAACTAATAATACACTGTATGTTAATTGAATTTAAATAAAATAAAAATAAATTGGAGATACAATAACACTATATAATACTGTGTCTAACCTTGGATGTGGCTAGGTGCAGATACGTTTTAAAGTGGTGATAACCCCAGAGTGCAATTGATCATGTGATAGTTCCCTTTTAAAACTTTTGAAGGAAATGCTCTATTTTTTATTATACATGGCAGATACATTTTAGTGTTCTAATATGTGCATTTGTCAGCTCATGAAAGCAGTTTTGATAACAGGTACTTTAAATTGTTCTTACAGTGTTTAATAATTTAGTTTTAAAGTTCTGCTATGATAATCTAGTGAACTTTGGTTATACCATAATCGTTACCTGTGTAAGGCACTTACAAATTTTGCAGTTTTATATTTTAGCATGGGTTGTGTTTTTTTAAATGTTTTATTTTGAAATACTTTCAGACTTACAAAAAGTTGCAAAAATAATACAGAATTCCTATATCCTTTTTACCAGCCTCTTAAGGTTAACATCTTGTATAACAGTGGTACATTTATTAACACTAGGAAATTAACATTGGTATAATTGCACTTTAAAATGATGTGAAATAGTTTTACAAATGTTTAGAATACTTATATAATTGTATACCATATGTTTTCTCAGATCCTGTGACAAAAAAGAAGTTGGCTAATATGTTGATGACAAATAAATTATTAACATAGCCAACAGATTTGAAGCAGTTTCACCTGTGAGAAGAAAATTTTATTTGACTGGGGGAGGGAACTTTTTTAATTACTAAAGTATTGCATTGCCGTTTTATTTATTTATTTATTTTCTATTTTTTTAAGATTTTATTTATTTGTCAGAGAGAGAAGGAGAGAGAGACAGAGAGCAAGCACAAGCAGGGGGAAGCGGCAGGCAGAGGGAGAAGCAGGCTCCCCGCTGAGCAGGAGCCTGATGCGGGACTTGATCTGAGGACCCCGGGATCATGACCTGAGCCGAAGGCAGCCACTTAACCGACTGAGCCACTCAGGCATCCCGGCATTGCCGTTTTAGATAATTTAGAACATACAGATAAGCAAAAAGAAGAAAATCATCACTGAAACAATACTCATAACATACTTACAGTATTAACTACTATATTTTTGATTATCTATACTTAAAATACATCTGTTTTGGCATATGTCTATATATATATATAAAATTTGATATTTGTCCTTAGCATATTTTTGCTTTGTGTAGACGTCCATTTTTATTAGAAAATGGAATCATATTATACACTTTATAATCTTTTTGATTTTAATAATAATATAAGTCTCTTTCTTTGTCATTAAATGGACTTTTATAATCCTGGCAATGATTGTAAAATTTTTCATTGTGTGGAGATACTACAATTTGTTTAAATATTGTCATACTGCTGGGCATATGGATTATTTGCAATATATATAATTTGTTTTTATAAACAATGAGTGCTTCTGTGACTATCCTGGTAGCTAAATTATTTTTGTGTAGCTGAGTTTCTTATAGGATAAATACCTAGATATAGAATTATTAAGCCATAGGTCATGAACATTTTTTATTGATTTGACATACAGTAACAAATTGTTCTTATATTTATTCACCCAGCAGCAGCAGTTTCTAAGTGTGCTTTTCCCCCCAGCATTATTAATAGTAGTTGCTATTTTTAATTAATTTATTAATATGACAGGCAAAAAAGATACTATTTATAGGTTATTTCTGTCTCTTGAGCCTTAATTATTACAATTCCAAGTTTAAAAGCATAGCATTTCAGCAGAGAATTAATTAGATGGATATTGAGGTCATGACTTGCTTAAAGTCATATGGAGAGTTAATGAAAGAACTGAGATAGAAGAACCTAATATCTTTTGAATATCAGTCCAGTGTATTTTTACTGTTAGACTAGATTTCCTTCAAAAATAACTTTTAAAAAAGTTAGATCTCAGGTTTAAGCTTGATTTTTGTTTTTCAAAAAGTAATAGATTTCTGTTAAGTAAATATAAAACAACTTATTTGGGGAATATAGAAAAGGTGTCAATTTTCATAAATAGTCTTATTGACATAAGTGAATAATTCAGAGTAATGATATATTTTTATAACTAGCAGATGATCAAAAGTGAGGGATTTGAGGAAGCACACAGATATGTGGCAGTAGAATTACATCCTCTTTTAAACTGATCTTCATATGATATTCTAGCCCAAAGACAACCTCACACCATCACATTTTATCCTTTTAGAGAATGAAACTGTTTACTCTCTAGTATGGATGCTTTATTTTCATATCTAAGACACACTTTTTTCTGGTCGTTTCAGTTTTACTAAAAGCAGTTAAATTAGAATGTAATTTGTAAATGTAATTTAGACTACTTTTTAGAACACTCATTTTTGACAAATTTCATAGCTTACAAATGAAAATCATTAGTGCTTTCCAAGTAAAAATATATTTCTTCTTTTATATAGAGAGTTCTGGAGTCTGAAGAGCAAGTACTTGTTATGTATCATAGGTATTGGGAGGAATATAGCAAAGGTGCAGACTATATGGACTGCTTGTATAGGTAAGTATGCCTTTAAACTCTTTGACAACCTAAACAGTGTTGCCTGTATTCAGTGATTGAAGGAGTTTTGGGTTTTGGCTTTTTGTTTTTAAATTTTTAAATGAATGAACAAACCTAAAGCATTCTGTAGTCAATCGACTTTGTCTGCTATGGGGGAAGGTCTGTAGTCTGGGTCATGTGAGTCTTTGGGAGCCAGGCAGTGTATGGAAAGTTATTCTCTGAAAACTAAAACTATATTTAATTTCATAGTTCATTTTTTTTCGTATTGTCTGGGACTCTCTCTCTCTATATATATATGGCACATGTTAGATCTTGACAGAGTTCCAAAGTGCAACTTCAGCTTGGATGAAACTTGGTGGAGTAAATCCAAGCCCATGTTCCCCTCCCGTATGCTCTTATTTGACTCTAAGATCCAGTATTTTATGTTTCATGGAAACACTATTAGTTAAAGCACTCAGCAGTTGTTCCCTTGAAGTTCTACCTTATCCTTTAGGCATTATATTAAATTACCTACAGTGTCACAATGTCCTGTGATCTCTCACATTTTCCTGCCTCTCCTTGTGCTGTTGTATCTGTCTGGATTGCTTGTCCTCCTTTCTCTGAATGACGAATTCTGATGTGTTTCTCCACCATTCTGTCTCTGAACTTCCCTCTTCCTTGTTCTACCCAGTCTCCTACTTAGATCTTTGGTGTTAACTGTCACTCCTGCATGTTCCTGTGGTACTCTGCGCTGATCCTTTCTAACCCATTCACATAGACAATGGAGATAAATTCCTGGGGACATAAGGCAGAAACCTATTTACTGAAGAATAGTAGATAAATAAGGAATAGGGTCATTAAGTCACCTGGGCCTTTGACCCTTGGAATGAGAGTGTCTGCTCTTGAAATGGTTGTGGCCTGTGATGGAGGTGGTGATAATTTTGGCCTGTGCATTGTGGCATGGGCAGAGATGGACCCCTGCCTCAGTTTCTCACTGGGGAGAAACTCCTCAGGTCCTCAGTTCTCCCCAGTGAGAAACCGAGGAGCGAAGCTCGGTGTCAGAGTATTATCTGTACAGTTATTTCATGCATTGCTGGACTACCACACCGAGGCCAGGGCTTGGTTCTCTTGGCGTGTTTGTCCTTTGTCACTGGTTCATGTTCCTGTTTTTATAACAACACTGGAGTTTACTTACTGTAAGTTGCCTCTGTTAGAAACTGGAGCTTATTTCAACCTCCATTAGCTTTTATTTCTTCTTAGAAGAGCCAAATGTAATAAAATCAGAAGCTAGCAGTTGCTGACAAGCACAAGGTTTACCGTGGCTTTGGCTTTTATAAAACAGTGTTTGCCATACATAAAACATCCTGACATTTCATGGTTGTTTTTTTACCTCATCCACCAAAGTAAGATAGTCATAAATAGAACTTTTAAGAATTCCCTAGCTAAACTGTGGAGGTGAATTAGAGGAATTTTAAGGATAAGAGTGAGAGCACATGTGTGATGTTGGCCACATGCTTGGGCCACTGGTATATAGATGACTTAATGAGTATTTAGACTATATGCCAATACAGTATGTTGTGTGCTGTGGGTTCCCTCTTGAGCTGAGACATTTTAGTAAAGATTTAAATTGTTTTTCTTTCTTTCTTTCTTTTTTTAGTTTTCTAGCTTCTCCTGCATCAAAATCAATAATTTGGTACTATTTAAATTAATACTAATATTAATACTAAATTGGTACTGTTAGTGAACTTTATTAAATATATATGCTATATACACAAATGTATGTGTGTATATAAACCATATGAGGTAGTTGGTGTCTCCAAATTTTCAGCTGAGGAAACCAGGCTCTCAGAGAGGTCATTTAAGACTTTGCTCAAGGTCACTCAGCTACAAAAAAACCCACAATTTAAACCCAGATCAGTCCAATTAAACCCATTTCACTTCTTCGTTCTACTTTAGTCTCATTCTGGATACACTCTTTTAGTCATTTAGGTAGATTCTGTTCTCATCCCTTATCTTACACTATGCATTCTTTCTAAAATGATTTCAGTTACTCCTAGTTTTAGCTACAACCTATATGTTGCTAACCACCAAAATACGTGTTTATCCCAGGTGGTCTAAGTTTCAGAGGAGTATTTTTTTACCTAGCCTGCCTATACCTTCAGGGTATTCCATGGGTACATTGTAGTACTGCAGATTTCAAAACTGAGCTTGTTATCTTTTACATACACACTATCCCCAGTATTATTTTTATTTATTTATTTTTTTTTTTTTTTAAGTAGGTTCCATGCCCAGCATGGAGTCCAGTGCAAGGCTTGAACTCACGACCCTGAGATTCAGACCCAAGCTGAGATCAAGAGTCAGACACTTAACCAATTGAGCCACGCAGGCACCCCAGTATTACCAATTTTAATTGGTAGTAATACTGTACATCCAGACATAGATGCCGGAAGTCTCAGTTATCCTTTCTTCACTTACAGTTGTCCTCTCTACCTGATCCCTATGGGTCAGGTCCTTCACACGTCTCTTAAATTCATTATTTCCTTTGCATTGCAAGCTTTTTATCATTTCTCACCTGAACTATTAAAGTCCCTATAACCAGTCTTCTGGCCTTTTATTTCAGATTTATTCTATTTATTGAACTCATGTTATTTTTTTCTAACATGCAAATCTGATCACTCTCTGAAATCACGTAGTAACCTTCCACTCTCTGTAGCAAAGACTTAGAACTAATGGCTCATGGGATTCACTTATAGAGAATTTTATTTGACCACTGTGATGTTGGCATCATGTGGCTGATCATCATTTATTTAATTATATTGGTAGAATAGATGGTAAAATCCTTTTCATAGAGGATATAGTTGGCAATAATTAGATGAAAACTGCTTAATGGTAGTTTTTAATTGTGGGGTACTGAGGTTATCCAGGCTAGCTAATCATTTTTAGTCATACTCTGTAAGGAAATCTGTGTAAAGAAATAGAAAGGAAAGATTCAATTTTGTTTTAAAAGTATTTTTTAATATTTTTATGAAGTAATTTCTACCCTCTTCTTTATTCTGATTGATTTATAAGATGGATATGCATTAGCATAGGTAATTTAAGGATTCTACTTTAAAGAAAATAATGATATTCCTGCGTCACGTTTCCCAGTACTACATATCTCTTTAGACCCTGCTGGCTCTTGAAGTGGAGTACGTAAGATATTAGCTGGAGAACTAACAACTCTTGAAATCCAGTAGGTATTAGCATGAGAACAATTTTTGTAATGGAATTTCCTAAGACAGATTGAAGTGCTTGGTTTCTTGGAGGCTTCAAAATTTTCGCTAGTCATTATTGTCAAGTACTATTTTTAATTGTGTCAGTGCTAATATTCCAGGAAAGCAAAGGATACTTATGAAACACTTTGTTGCTGAAATAAATTATAAAAACATTATAAAAATTATAAAAACTATTGCATTATATGTGAGCAGAACAGCCAGGTATTGCCTGTGTGGTAGAGTATAAAATATTTTAAGAAATTATTGGGACCTGATTCTTTTATGATTTCCTAGAACATATGTCTTTATTTAAAAACAAATGTGTGATGAATAAAATTGACTGTAAAATACTCTAATGACTTAGAAATTAAGAATTGTATCCACATCAAAATGAAAAATTGCACTGTTTACATTTTAAGTTATATCTTTAAATTATTTTAAAAGCTTGTCTATCAGGCTTAAACTTAACATCAGGAGTAGAAATCTGGAATGAGAAAGATACAGTTAACGTAAGTTCAAGTTCTTTCCATGAGGTAAAGAGAATAGTGACTTGTCCTATCAGATATAAAACATAAAGCTCCACTAAAGCAGTATGCTGGCTCAAGAATATACATACAGATCTTTGAAACAGAATAGTGATTCCAGATCTCTGCAGATCTAGCAGCTGGTTGTTCAGCATTAACAAACCGCTATCCTAAGAAGTTTATACTTACTCTATAGGTATAAAGGAGCTACTTAGTATTCTGAATAGGTGAGTAATTTTTAGATGAATTAGAGATGGCAGAAACAGGAAATAAAGACCAGTCATGGGAGTGTTGCACATGATCGAAGCAGAGATTAAACAAAAGGCATTGGAAGAGAGAAGGAAAGTAATGGGAGAGGATGATGAGTAGTTTAGGAGGACGTGAAGAGCAGCTGATTAAAGTAGTAAAAGGGAAGGATGAGAGATAAATGTTTCTAATCTTTTAGTGGGATTACTGGGATGGCCATGGTACCACAGACCAAAAAAGAAACTGGTTTGGTGCAAAGGATCCCTATAGGAAGGCACATATAAATGGTAAAGATATGACAATTAAATTCCCACTACTCAGGGAGCACATGTTACTGTTGAAATATTGCATTTGTTTATGTTTGTATATTCTACCAGATGTGTAAACTCTGTGCGGGAAACCCACATTTTTGTTTTTCATCTTTCTGTCCCTGGGGCCTGGCACACTGCCTGATTTGGAGTCCATACTTGGTCAATACTTGCTGAACGAGAGAGGGAGAGCTTGTGAAATTTCTGTGCCCGCTCTGTCACCCACTAGCAGATTGACCCTTGGCGAGTTCTTTAAGCTAAGCTGCAGTTTTCGTACATATAAAAGGAGGGTCGTAGTAGTACCACATATACCTACTTCATAGTATTCGGCCGCCTAAAACGCTTAGGGGTATGCCTGACACATGACACGAGCTCAGTAAATGTTAGTGATTACTTTTATTTCCTGGCGTTTGTGGCTTTTATGATCTGGCTCCAGGCTGCTTTTCTAAGTTTGTAATCTAATACTAGCTTTTGCTCTCCCTGCTGTCTGGGAATGCTGTCCATTTATGTATTCAGTCGTTCATCAAGGAGGTATTTTTTGAGGACTTCATATTTACCTGCCGCGGGTTCTGGATGCTGTGTAAGCAGGGTCCTTGCTTTGTAGTTCCTACATTTTAGAGAGGCAACACATGTACAGAGTAAGTAAGCAAATAAAAGAATTGAATTATTTCACAAAGTAGTAAGTACCGTGAAAAATATAAAACAGTTGCGTGTGATTACTTTAATGGGATGGGAAGTTAAAGTTCATTTGGATTGGTATCAGATCAGGCCTGAGAGAAGTGTGTTTGAGCCTGATGACAGGGGCCAGAGGTTAAAAGATCTCTCCACTTTATATATCCCTATTTCAGGCCAGATATCCCAGATGTTCTCTCTCTACCTCTTTCTTCTGTCTCTTTCAGTCCTATTACCTTTTCTTCAGTTGGAAGGCATGGTTGAAAAGCCAGCATGAAATTAGGAGGTTATACTACTAGAGAGAATGGAAGGAAGGGTGAAATGGCATTTTGAAGAAAAATATAATAGGACATTTTAACATGTGGGTAGAGGAGACTTAAATGTCAAAGAGAGCACCAAGGTTTTAAGCCTTGGAGTCTAGAGGCTTGTAGTTAGTGTGGGAGTGCAACTTTTGTAAATGGTTGTATCTATACAGCTTTGGAGTTAATTCCAGGAATTGTGTTTTTCATTGTCTCCTAGAGTTGTTGGTGGAGTTATGCAGTTGAAATTTTTGTTGTCTTTGTTTTCAGTTTCATTTGTAAACGTGAAGTGGACTTTTCATTTTGATGCAGTGAACACTAGAAAGTGTGTGTTTTACTATAGAGATTTCGTGGCTATTGCCTATTCGTGTTGTCTATAGCTAGTTACACATGGCAGAGCCTTTCAAGTGAGTACTTTTAGGTGGTGAGCATTATAGGAATTATATTGAAATCTAAGATTGTGAAAAGTGAGTGCTAGAACATTTTGAGCCCTTTCTACACATTTTATTTACTTTAAAGAAATCTATATTCATCTTAGTAATTTGTAGAGTTCATTACAGTTACTAGTCTTAGAATATGTTGAAACATTATAAAGCTGTTTTCTTCTGGTAGACAAAGTGATCTTACGTTTCTCAGTTTTGCCCATACTTCTTACTGTCTATAATAGTCTATTTCATTTTCTTACCTACTAATTTGATCTCTTTTTGTTGTTTAAAAATGAAAAGTTACATCTTTTCCTGGTGATAGATATAAATTGAAGGACTGACCTGAGTTTTATCTTTTAACTATTTTTTGGTTTAATTCTTTGCACAGTGAACTTATCCTGACTTTCTAAGAAGAACCTGGGAATGAGCAAATTGTAGAAGGATTGTAGAAGCTCCTTAGGTAGGAGCTGTTGGGCTGTATGAGTATTGGAAATTTTTAGAGCAAAACCCTTGAGTTTTTTAAAGTGAGACTGAGGTAATAGGGTTTTTTTCTCCCTACTCTAGAGGTTATTCTTTCACTCTTAAAGCCTTCGGCTGATACCTTTGATCCTTTTAAATTATATTTCTAACTTCTGCAGAATTTCTTTGGATATATTGCCACACTCTTCTGTTGTTGATTTATAACCCTAAAATTATTATTTTCAAGTTGCAAGTTATTTGTTTTCCTACTGATTTTAACATAGTGTCCAATGGTACTGTATTTGTTTTTCAGGTATCTCAACACCCAGTTTATTAAAAAGAATAAATTGACAGAAGCTGACCTTCAGTATGGCTATGGTGGTGTAGATATGAATGAACCACTTATGGAAATAGGAGAGGTAGGAAATTCTTTAAATGACTGGCAAACATGAGAGTGTTTTTGTATATATTGAGGGAATTTGATTCACTGTCCTTTTTTTTAAGGACACCATGTTGACTATCTTAACATTGTCAAGATTTAAAACATCTTAAATGTTAAGTTAATAAAACACTGCAATGATTTCCTAAGAATCTTCATATAGATGAGAACAGAAGAGATATGATTAGTATTATTTTAATAATTAAGTTGATGGATGAATAAATGACAGGTTAATAGTTCCACTGTGTGAAAAAGCTCACAAAAAGTCTTTTGGAAAATACTTTGTAAGAGTATTTAGAAAATACTCTTGAGATTCTTGTAGTTAAAAAGTGCAAAAGTCAAGGTGCCTGGGTGACTCAGTTAGTTGAGCATCTGACTCTTGATTTCAGCTTAGGTCATGATCTCAGGGTTGTGGGGTTGAGCTCTGTGTCAGGCTCTGTGCTGGGTGTGGAGCCTGCATAGGATTCTTTCTCTCGCTCCCTCTCCTTCGGCCCCTACCCCCACCTAACGTGCATGCATGCTCCTTCTCTATAAAAAAAATAAAGTGCAAAGGTCATAGGCTTAAAAGATCCTAAAAGAGAGGAAATACAGATTTATGGATATAACAAATTTAACTTTAAAAAGTAGTTAAAGAAGTTCAGAGTAAAACAATGAAGTGTGGAGGTCAAGTAGTTCTTTCAGATTCTTGAGGTACAGTACAAATTTAAATGTGGAAAATTACATAAAGCATATATTCACTGTGAAAGAAATACTCTAGTACAATGTTTGTTTATTCATGTAATATGTATTTATTGAGTAGCCAGGTACTGGTGATACAATGGTGAACAAACAGAAGGTCTCTGTCCTCATGGGGAAGCAATGCCAAATAAGTATAGAAATTAATGTGAAATTGTGGTGAGTGTTAATGAAAAAAGTAAACAGCTAAGATGCAGCATTAGTAGAAATTTTATTTAGAATAATCCTTTTGGAAAGAAATTTGTCATTGTCTTTCAGTAGACTTTAAAATGTGCAATATCTGTTAACCAGATAATCCCATGTCTGGTAATCTGTACTGTGAAAATAATAAATAACAGGAAAAAAGTTTAAATATTTAAAAGTGTTCCTTGTGGGGCGCCTGGGTGGCTCAGTCATTAAGCGTCTGCCTTCAGCTCAGGTCATGATCCCAGGATCCTGGGATTGAGCCCCGCATCTGGCTCCCTGCTCAGCAGGGAGCCTGCTTCTCTGTCTCCCCCTGCCTGCTGCCCCCCCTGCTTATTATACTCATACTCTCTCTCTGTGTCAAATAAATAAATAAATAAAATCTTTAAAAATGAAATATTATTGAACAACCCCTTTCTTATACCATACACAAAAATAAACTTAAAGTGGGTTAAAAATCTAAACACGAGACCTGAACAATTTAATTAATGCCTAAAAAGCAATAATAAACTATTGGGACTACACCAAAATAAATAATTATTGTTAATAAGGATGACCAACAGATAGACCATCTAAATGTCTAATATCCAACAGTAAAAACCATACATAGATGAGTATGTACAGTAAGATTTTGTTATGAAGGCAAAGAGATAAATTAGTAGTAGAAAACAGTTCATAGAAACTTTAATAAAGGGGAAAATATTTCATGAAAAAATTTAGACACATTATATGTTTAATAGGAATAAAACTGTAGGGGGAAAAGGATGTAGAGTAACAGATTAGTGGGAAATAGTAGTTGCTTTAGTTCGTAGGACTATTAGTGAGTATTTTAATAATTGTCCCTTATCACCAATACCATCAAGCTCACTCTTCCTCCCAGAGGAAGTCACCCTAAACAATATGTCTTTCCTGACTTTTACCTGTGCATTTGCATATAAATACTTACACTATGCACATGATGGTTTAATTTTGTATTTTAAACATTAATGGTATCGTATGTACACATAATGATAGCATACCATATATCTTGCAGCTTGTATTTCTTGCTTGTTTTTTGGTTAATGTGTCTAGTTCTTTGCACATAAGTTTATTTTTGTGAGAGCTCAGTATTCTATAATAGGGATATAGAATAATTTATTAATCATTTATTAAACTATTCTACCTAGTTTTTAGTTCTTTGTTGCTTTGAACAATTCTGCTGTGAATATCATTGTTCATTTATTCATTTATTAAAAATTTTTTGAACCCCTCTGTGTGCCAGGCACTTTTGTATATACTAAGAATAGAGTAGTGAACAAAGTAGACACAGATCTTACACTTAGGGAGTTAACATTTATGTATTTATCTCTTTGTACACAAGCAGACATTTTCTTAGAGTGGGTACCTGAAAGTGGATTTTCTGGGTCTTAAGCACACCCTGAATTTTGATAGCTCCTCCAGCTTGCTTTCAAAAGGCTTCATAGTTTGTTCTCCTATCATAGCTTATAACATCTCATTTTCTTTATCACCCTTTTTCCCTGTTTGTGCTATTTAAAAAGCAAAAAATAAGGGGAAACTTGAAGAATGGTCCTTGTGGGATGGCGGATGCTTTTACTTATTTGAAATAGGATAAAGTTACCCCAGGGAAATAGAATAGAGGGGCTAAAACCAGAATAATGGCTGTGTAGATGCAATTATATTGGCAACAGAGGAGCAATCAATTTTTGATACTGGAATAATTTGTACTCTTTATGGGAAAAATACATTGGAGTTTAAATATGAAAAGCAAGACTTGAAAACTTTTGGATGGCAATAAAAGAGCACACATATCCCTGACATTAGAGTAAGAAAGCTCTTAAAAGACAAGAAAAATACAAACAATAAAGGAAAAGATGGATAACTTTGAGACATTAAAGTATAATCTATTTTTACTAAAAAACACTAAAGGAACTCAAAAGTTAAGTCACAAACTATGACTGCAATATATAAAACTGTCAAGGGATTAATTTCTACAATATATAAAAAACTTCTAGTTTTTATTAAGAACAAGATAAATACTATGGAATAGTGGGCAAAAGAGATGAATTGGCATTTCACAGAAAAAAACTAAGATGTACAATAAACATACAAAAAGATGCCCAGCCTCACACAAGAAGATGCCAGTTAAAACCACAAGGATTTACCAAAATAATCTACAAATTCAGTGTAATCCCTATCAAAATACCAATAGCATTTTTCACAGAACTAGAACAAATAATCCTGAAATTTGTATAGAACCACCAAAGACCCCAAATAGCCAAAGCGATCCTTTTTTTTTTTTTTTTAAGATTTTATTTATTTGACAGAGACACAGCGAGAGAGGGAACACAAGCAGGGGGAGTGGGAGAGGGAGAAGCAGGCTTCCAGCCGAGCAGGGAGCCCAATGCAGGGCTTGATCCCAGGACCCTGGGATCATGACCTGAGCCGAAGGCGGACACTTAACGACTGAGCCACCCAGGCGCCCCTAGCCAAAGCAATCTTGAGAAAGAACAAAACTGAAGGTATCATAATCCCAGATTTCAAACTATCTTACATAGCTGTAGTAATCAAAACAGAATGGTACTAACAGAAATAGACACATAGATCAGTGGAACAGGATAAAAGACCCATGCATACAAACCCACACTTCTATGGTCAATTAATCTATGACAAAGGGGGCTAGAATATGCAATAGAGAAAAGAGTCTCTTCAATAAATGGTGCTGGGAAAACTGCACAGCTACATGCAGATGAATGGAAAAACCCCTTTCTTATACCATACACAAAAATAAAGTGGGTTAAAGATCTAAACATGAGACCTGAACAATTTAATGCCTAAAAGAAAACGTAGGTAGTATTCCCTTGGACATTGTTTTTAGCAACGTATTTATGGATATGTTTCCTCAGGCAAGGGAAACAAAAGCAATAATAAACTATTGGGACTACACCAAAATAAAGCTTTTGCACAGCAAAGGAGACCATCAACAAGACAAAAAGGCAACCCAGTGAATGGGAGAAAATATTTGCAAATGGCATCTAATAAGGGATTAATATCCAGAATACATAAAGAACTTACACAATCAACATCAAAAAAACAAACAATTTAATTAAGAAATGAACCAAGGTCCTGAATAGATATTTTTCCAAAGAAGAGATACAAATGGCCGACAGACACATGAAGAGATGCTCAAATCACTAATCACCAGGGAAATGCAAATCAAAACCACAATGAGATCTCACCTCACCCTAGTCAGAATGGCTATTATCAAAAAGACAAGAACTAGCAAGTGTTGGTGAGGATGTGGAAGGGAACCCCCATGCACTGTTGGTGGGAATGTAAATTGATGCAATGACTATGGAAAACAAAACTGTGGTTCCTCAAAAAATGAAAAACAGAAATATCCTATAATTAGTAATTCCACTACTGGGTATTTACCCAAAGAAAATGAAAACACAAATTTAAAAAGACATATGCACTCCTGTGTATATTGTGCCCTTATTTACAATAGCCAAATTATGGAAGTAGCCCAGGTGTCCGTTGATAGATGTATGGATAAAGAAGATGTGGTCTGTATTATACAAAGGAATATTACTCAGCCATAAAAAAGAATGAAATCTTGTAATTTACAACAACATGGATAGATCTAGAGAGTATAATGCCAAGTGAAATAAGTCAGTCAGAGAAAAAAACATAAACAAAATAAACAGACTTAACTATGGAGAACAAACTGATGGTTACCAGAGGGGAGGTGGGTGAGGGGATGGGTGAAGTAGATGAAGGGGATTAAGAGTACATTTATCTTGATGAGCGCTGAGTAATACATAGAACTGCTAAATCACTATATTGTACACCTGAAACTAAATAACACTGTATATTAACTATACTGGACTTAATATTAAAAAAAATGGGATATGTACACATTTGCTAGAACTATAGGCAAGGGAATGATTTAACACAAAATTCAGGGTTGTAACTTCTGAGGGGAAAGTAGGACATTTGGAGCAACACTAATGGGGAAGTTGTGTTTCTTAAACTGGGTGGTGAATACAGGGATATTCTATTTTATTATTCTTTTAATTGACTTATGCTTTATGTTTGTATGAGAGGTTTTGTAATTTTAAAAATCAGCCAACGGCCAAATCACTTTAACGTAATTCCTTTGTTTCTCTTAGTCTTGACATTTATACAGCCTTTCCGTGATACCAGGCATTTAACAATCAATAAGTTATAGTTTATAAAAATCAAATCAATTATTTCTTAAAGATTTTCAGTTTATTCAGTTGAATTCAATTCAATTTCAATTAATTCAAGCCTTAATTGTTCTTTATACAAATCTGATACTCATTTTCAATTTAAATTAGAAATTCATTTTTTTATGTATATTCAATTTTCACTTGACCTTTGAAATATTAGTTGTAAATACTTGATGTGTAAAGTCTTTTAACATTTTAATAAATGTTGAAAACAAGTACTGGGTAATTTATCCTTGATAATTTTTATTTTTCCCGGCAGCTAGCATTAGATATGTGGAGGAAATTGATGGTTGAACCACTTCAGACCATCCTTATCCGAATGTTGCTCCGAGAAATAAAAAAGTGAGTACTGATATTTGTCTTCTTGAATCAATTTTAATTTGTTGTTTGAAATGGTTTCAAATAGTGTACAGTTGTGTGGCTGTTAACTAGACATAGGCCTTGGTTTACTTAAACAAGCCTCATTTTCCATCTTAATGCCAATATTTTAAAATTGTTTTATAATCTTTTTTTGATAGGTCTTTGGTCTTTAGCCCAATATGCTTAGTAAATAAGTAAGTCCCTGAAGGAAGTGACCTGTCATTTGTTGTTGCAAGCCTGATACCTCTTGGATCTTCCAGGGCATAGCTGAATTGTTTGAACATACTCTCTCCGTTTAAATCTTGAAAGGATAACATACCTATTCAAGAATACAAATTTTTCTAGGTAGTTGGTTACCTCTTAGCTCCAGTGTTAAATTCGTAACTTGTCTATATGTGAGCTTAGTTTGTGGGAAAATGGCTTCCCACTCTACTCATGGGCCAGCATGAGTTCACCTAATTGCTGTGTGAATAGAATTTACCTAATTGCTGTGTGAATAGAATTTAAGAGAGTAAGTTTTCCTGTGGAGTCCAGAATAGAAGATCCTTGGGTCAGCTCTGGCCTAAAAAATTCTTTTTTTTTTTTTAATTTTATTTTATTATGTTATGTTAGTCACCATACAATACATCATTAGTTTTTGATGTAGTGGTCCACACTTCATTGTTTTCGTATAACACCTACTGTTCCATGCAGTACATGCCCTCCTTAATACCCATTACCGGGGTAGCCCATCGCCCCAGCCCCTTCCCCTCTAACACCCTCAGTTTGTTTCTTAGAGTCCATAGTCTCTCATGGTTCATCTCTCCCTCCCAATTTCCCCCCCTTCATTTTTCCCTTCCTTCTCCTAATGTCCTCCATGTTATTCCTTAATGTTCCACAAATAAGTGAAATCATATGATAATTGACTTTCTCTGCTTGGCTTATTTCACTTAGCATAATCTCTTCCAGTCCCATCCATGTTGATATAAAAGTTGGGTATTCATCCTTTCTGATGGCTGAGTAATATTCCCTTGTATATATGGACCACATCTTCTTTATCCATTCATCTGTTGAAGGGCATCTCGGCTCTTTCCACAGTTTGGCTATTGTGGACATTGCTGCTGTGAACATTGGGGTGCATATGGCCCTTCTTTTCACTACATCTGTGTCTTTGGGATAAATACCCAGTAGTGCAATTGCTGGGTCATAGGGTAGCTCTATTTTTAATTTTTTGAGGCACCTCCACACTGTTTTCCAAAGTGGCTCTACCAACTTGCATTCCCACCAACAGTGTAGAAGGGTATCCCTTTCTCCACAACCTCTCCAACATTTGTTGTTTCTTGCCTTGTCAATTTTTGCCATTCTAACTGGTGTAAGGTGGTATCTCAATGTGGTTTTGATTTGAATTTTCCTGATGGCTAATGATGATGAACATTTTTTCATGTGTCTGTTAGCCATTTGTATGTCTTCTTTGGAGAAGTGTCTGTTCATGTCTTCTGCCCATTTTTGGACTTGATTATTTGTTTTTTGGGTGTTGAGTTTGAGAAGTTCTTTATAGATCTTGGAAATCAGTGCTTTGTCTCTAGTGTCATTTGCAAATATCTTCTCCCATTCTGTGGGTCGCCTCTTTGTTTTGTTGACTGTTTCCTTTGCTGTGCAGAAGCTTTTTATCTTGATGAAGTCCCAAAAATTCATTTTTGCTTTTGCTTCACTAGCCTTTGGAGATGTATCTTGAAAGAGGTTGCTGTGGCCGATGTCAAAGAGGTTACTGCCTATGTTCTCCTCTAGGATTTTGATGGATTCCTGTCTCACATTGAGGTCTTTCATCCATTTTGAGTTTATCTTTGTGTATGGTGTTAGAGAATGGTCGAGTTTCTTTCTTCTGCACGTGGCTGTCCAATTTTCCCAGCACCATTTATTGAAGAGACTGTCTTTTTTCCATTGCATATTTTTTCCTGCTTTGTTGAAGATTATTTGACCATAGAGTTGAGGGTCCATATGTGGCCTCTCTATTCTGTTCCATTGGTCTATATGTCTGTTTTTATGCCAGTACCATGTTGTCTTGGTGATCACTGCTTTGTAATATAGCTTGAAATCAGGCAACATGATGCCTCCAGCTTTGTTTTTCTTTTTCAACATTTCCTTGGTGATTCGGGGTCTTTTCTGATTCCATACAAATTTTAGGATTGTTTGTTCCAGCACTTCAAAAAATGTCATTGGAAATTTGATCGGGATGGCATTGAAGGTATAGTATAGATTGTTCTGGGTAGCGTAGACATTTTAACAGTGTTTATTCTTCTGATCCATGAGCGTGAAATGTTTTTCCATCTTTTTGTGTCTTCTTCAGTTTCTTTCATGAGTGTTCTGTAGTTCCTAGAGTATAGATCCTTTGCTTCTTTGGTTAGGTTTATTCCAAGGTATCTTATGGTTTTTGGTGCTGTTGTAAATGGAATCATTTCTTTTAATTTCTCTTTCTACAGTTGTGTTGTTAGTGTGTAAGAAAGCAACAGATTTCTGTGCATTGATTTTGTATCCTGCCACATGAGTGAATTGCTGTATGAGTTCTAGTAATTTGGGGGTGGAGTCTTTTGGATTTTCCACATAAAGTATCATGTCATCTGTGAAGAGAGAAAGTTTGACTTCTTTGCCAATTTGAATACCTTTTATTTCTTTTTGTTGTCTGATTGCTGTTGATAGGATTTCTAGTACTACGTTGAACAGTAGTGGCGAGAGTGGGCATCTTTGTTGTGTTCCTGATCTTAAGGGAAAGGCACTCAGCTTTTCGCCATTGAGGATGATATTCGCTGTGGGTTTTTCATAGATGGATTTTATGAACTTGAGGAATGTTCCCTCTATCCCTATACTCTGAAGAGTTTTAATCAGGAAAGGATGCTGTATTTTGTCATATATTTTTTTCTGCATCAATTGAGAGGACCATATGGTTCTTCTCTCTCTTCTTACTAATGTGTTCTGTCACATTGATTGATTTGCGAATGTTGAACCACCCTTGCATCCCGGGGATAAATCCCACTTGGTTGTGGTGGATGATCCTTTTAATGTATTGTTGGATCTTACTAGCTAGGATTTTGTTGAGGATTTTGGAATCCATATTCATCAGGGATATCGGTGTGAAATTCTCCTTTTTGATGGAGTCTTTGCCTGGTTTAGGGATTAAGGTAATGCTGGCCTCAAAAATGAGTATGGAAGCTTTCCTTCTGTTTCTGCTTTTTGAAACAGCTTCAGGAGAATAGGTATTATTTCTTCTTTGAATGTTTGGTAGAATTCCCCCGGTAATCCGTCAGGCCCCGGACTCTTGTTTTTTGGGAGGTTTTTGATCACTGCTTCAATTTTGTTACTGGTTATTGGCCTATTCAGGTTGTCAGTTTCTTCCTGTTTCAGTCTTGGGAATTTATAGGTTTCCAGAAAGGCATACATTTCATCCAGGTTGCTCGATTTCTTGGCATATAGTTGTTGATAATAATTTCTAATAATTGTTTCTATTTCCTTGGTGTTAGTCGTGATCTCTCCCCTTTCATTCATAATTTTATTAATTTGGGTCCTTTCTCATTTCTTTTGGATAAGTCTGGCCAGTGGTTTATCGATCTTACCAATTCTTTCAAAGAACTAGCTTCTAAGTTTCGTTGATCTGATCTACTGTGTTTCTGGTTTCTAATTCATTGATCTCTGCCCTAATCTTAATTTCTCTTCTAATGCGTGGCTTAGGCATCATTTGTTGCTTTTTCTCTAGTTCTTTAAGGTGTAAAGTTAGCTGGTGAATTCGGGGTTTTTCTGGTTTTTTTGAGTGAGGCTTGGATGGGTATTTCCCCCTTAGGACTGCCTTTGCAATATCCCATAGGTTTTGGACCGATGTGTTTTCGTTCTCATTGATTTCCATGAATTGACCTGTCATTTGTTGTTGCAAGCCTGATACCTCTTGGATCTTCCAGAGCATAGCTGAATTGAACTGAATATTGAATATTGAACTGAATATTCTCTCAGTTTAAATCTTGAAAGGATAACATACCTATTTGAGAACACAAATTTTTCTAGGTAGTTGGTTACCTCTTAGCCCCAGTGTTAAATTCATAACTTGTCTATATGTGAGGTTAGTTTGTAGGAAAATGGCTTCCCACTCTACTCATGGGCCAGCATGGTGGACTCTTTACCTAGCTGCTGTGTGAATAGAATTTAAGAGAGTAAGTTTTCCTGTGGAGTCCAGAATAGAAGATCCTTGGGTCAGCTCTGGCCTAAAAAATTCTTTTTTTTTTTTTTTTAAGATTTTATTTATTTATTTGATAGAGAGAGACAGCGAGAGAGGGAACACAAGCAGGGGGAGTGGGAGAAGGAGAAGCAGGCTTCCCGCAGAGCAGGGAGCCTAATGCAGGGTTCGATCCCAGAACCCTGGGATCATGACCTGAGCCGAAGGCAGACGCTCAACCGACTGAGCCACCCAGGCGCCCCTGGCCTAAAAAATTCTTACTAGACTTCAGTTTTGGGGAATCAGAAGCACTAAAAGTCAGTCATACAGATGTGTGTATAATAAATTTCATTTTACTGGAACTGATGTTGTAGGAATTATCTAGACCAGTGAATTGCAGTGTGATGATGGCTACTCCGTCTGAAAATGCTTTCTTTAAGAATACCCAAATATGAGTTTTTTTATGTGAGGGGAAAGAAAAGGAAAGCATTATTCCTTCTATGGGCTCTTCATAGGACATTAAAAAAAAACCAAACAAATAAACAAACAAAAAACAAGCCGCCAAAGAGGATAAGGGAATATTTTAGAATTTAATGTTAATGCTAAATAGTAGAAAGTAGATGGTAGCAATTAGTAACTTTGTTTTAAAAAACTGTCACTCACCCTTTTAATGATTCCATTTTTTTCCAAAGATAGGGAGATGGAGAGAAAAGGATAGTGAAGGAGTAGGGTGGGAAAATTCTTTTTCTTTCTCTTTTCTCTACTAAACCATAATTAACTAAAAGAACACTCCCAACAATATTTG